AAAGACTGAGCATACCAATGGATGGACCTAGCCAAAGATGCAGTAACAATATCTTCAATATAATAATATTGCATATCTTTTATTAATGATGCTTTCATCATATAGTTCCTGATATATATTCGAAAGTTTTCAATAACAGTTTCAAATTCTGGTATTGTTGTACTTTTTTCTCTTCTAATACCGGATATTCTTAATCTTGAAGATAGAAAAGGTATGTCCCCAGTTTCATATGTATCAGCATAACATACTGAAGCCAAAATACAAATAAATAACATGTTTTGGTTATTTAATTTTTTCGAGTTTTAAATATACTGTCGTGTCTCGAAAATTTGATTTTTTAAAAAATATTATATTGATAATGTAAACAAGATTATAATCGAAATTAATTTTATTATGTTAACATACATTATAATTTTCAATAAAGTGATTTTCACTTTAACCATTTTATTAAATTTCGATTTTGGTAAAAAGGTTAATTTGTTCAAGTATTATAACAATTTGATAAAATAATTAGAAACACTTTCAACAAATTTTTTAAATTATTCATAACACTGTTTCATTTGATTTAATGACTATTTTTGAAAACAAAAAATTAATCATATAAACATTCTTAAAGTTTTATTTTTTCCAACTTAAATTGTTGTTTACACATCAATTATAACCTTTCAAAAAACAATCTTAAAATATAACAAACTTATTTTTTGCTATGATACGTTGAAATTTGTCAAATAATAATACTATTTATTAAATTATTAAACAACAATATCAGTATAAAGTTTTTTATTATAAATACCATTTTATTATTTAACAAACTAATAAAAGTGTTGTTTATTTAATTTGATAAATAGCAACTAAAGAGCACCAAAAAAATGATATACATCAGAAAATAGTCGTACACATTGTTTTATGGTATTTTTCTGTATATTTTCGGGTTTTTTTAAAAAACCCAATTTTTTTACTGAATGATAAGTCAAATTTTAGATGTCAAAAAATATTCCCGATTTTTTGGTTTGTTTGATACTAAAAACACAAGTGTAAGACAATTTTCTTGTTGTACGACTATTTTCTGTTGGTCTTTATTTCAACTTTTTAAATATTTATTTAGAAAAGTGTAATTCTATGAATATTAAAATATTCTTTTTAAAAAACAAAACAAAAATTGTGTTTATAAGAAAGTAAAAGTCCTTGGATTTTCTTTAACTCCTTGTTTTGAATCATCAACGTAAGTCTTTATATTTTGAACGATAGCTGTTAATTTGTGCACTTCTCTTTGATGTCTGAAGAATATTAAATCCGTCATTTCAATTGTTTTTTCAGAAAATTCCTTCAAAAAGTTTTCAATATTGGTTACAAATTCTTTGAGTTGTTCTCTACGTTCTGGTGCAATTCTCATTCTTTCCAATCTTGTAAGTATATCTGCTCGATGTTTATAGTATTTGTATGTTGCCATTTTGGCGTCAGGATGTTGAAGAACTTCAATTTGTGCTAAAAACATCAATCCGTTAACAGAAGATTTAGAATAAGGGTTTTTAATGGTCATGGCTTCTTTCAATTGTTGGAAAATAATATACATCGAATTAATTGTTCTGTAATTTTTCCTTGAAAACGTAAAGAATGATCTTCTATTACCAATAAAAAAAATTTAAGTCTTTCGTTTTTTCAAGAATAGTTGGGACCATTCGAGTCGCCTCGTTCATAAGTTGGTCAAGACGTTGATTTATTTCTGGTTTATGTACTGTACTTATTCCAATTTCCATCTCGTCTGCTAACCGAGATTTTTCATCATCTGTCATTTTCTCGTACTTTTGTTTGATCTCATTGGCTTCACAAACAGAAAGAAGAAATATCAGTAGTATTGTAATAATTCGATACATTTTGAACAATGATATGTTTTTAAAGTTATGGTCATGTATTAACCTTAGAAAGGAGGAACTGGAAAAAATAATAAAAATTATAGGATTTGAATTACATACACTTTTTTAATTATGAAAAAAACAGGTGTTGAATAAACATAATTAACATAAAAATTAACTATTTAAAATAATTATATTTTATCAATAATATAATATAATAATTTTTGACAAAAAAACAAAAATAACCCAACTAACTAACTAACCCAAATTGATAAGATTAATAAAGAATTCCGACTTTAATAAAGAACACGTTTTTGAACACTCAGAATGATAATTAAAAAACACTTGTCTCAACAATTGAGGCATCAACAATAAAAAACAGCACCAACATTAAATAAAGGATTTGATGTTGGTGCTGTTATGAACACTTCCGCGCATAATGTATCAATTGTAAAGAAAAAATAAGTAAGATTTTGATTAATATTTTGTTGATTTTATTTTTTGTTTAAAAAGAAATAATAAATAGTATTTTCCAGTTGGTCCCAAAGGGAGGGGATAGAAAATAAGTGGATTTGAATCAGCGTTCTAAGGTTAAATAGCAAAAA